TTATTATTGGCATTTTATAAGCAAGCATGTCAATAGCATTATAAATTCTAAGTACTTTTGTAATAAATATTATATAAAAGCTCTAGCACAATAGCTCCAAAGCTTTGCTAAGCCTTCAGGGAGTATCTACACTTTCTCTCAATCATTAAATATATATGATCATCTGAATGATGATTTTTTGAGATTTGAAGAAAAGTTGTACTACTACTGATTTCCACATCTGGCTAGCTAATGGCTTAACACCACTATAAAAATGAAAACAAAATGCCAGTAATAATTATGTTCCTGTCAATAAAACATGACAGCATCATAAATTAGGCTTCTATTACATGAAAATATGCATGACTGTTTAATGCACACTTAATAGGATAAATAGGAAATTTATTACAACAAAATCAATATTAAAATCATTAATCAACCATCAAACTGATAAAGTTGTTATTTTCTACTAGTACTATTCTTTGTCAAAAAAAAATCTCCCAACTGTTAGTTAAGTAAAAGAAAATATGCAATTTATGATAATTGTATAGGCAACTTTCAAATAGTAGATGTTTGAAGTAACCTTATTCACCTGGTGGCAGTTAACAACTTACTCTAAGGCTGGGATGACATAATGGCTAATATTGATTATAGTCATCCGAAAAGAACTGCATTTCAGCCAAATAATACATGAAAGACTTATGGATACATATAATATATATTTGTGCTAGTACTTGTATGGGCGAAGCTTGTCAAGAAAAGACCTAACACAATACTGAATAGTTCCAGCAAACAGTACAGTAAAAGCTCCTTATTTAACCTTTATTTGGGTTTCCACTTTTTGTAGCCAAAAGATTCATTAAATCTGCAGCTGCATCTCCATATATGGAGATTTCTTTAGGATAGATTAAATCGGTAAATTTTAATAAAAATGATTCAAATACCCAACACAATGGGTTCAACAACCACTGAAAATGTAACATGAAGAATGGCAAATGGGATTAGTGATTTCTTCAAGTCTTATTCTTTAAAAACATATTGGTGATGCCATGGCTAAAGTCGTAGAAACTAATAAAACTGGCAAAGTATGAAAACATGATGTTCTTTATATTATTACCTGAGAAAAATATATTGTTGTTATCAATATCGTTTTTAATATTGCCATTCTATTTTATTTTACCACCTAGAAACAATATAAATAATTTTTGCTATACTTGGTTTCTGTATTTACAGCAAATTTATGGAACATGTTCCCTAGATGTAAAGAGCTTTTACTGTAATCATAATATTTTTTTTCTATTTAGACATGTATTGCACAATTATCAATCAATGTGTATATTGAATTAACTAGTCAGCTTTATCAGAATAATTATAATTTGGTAGTAAGTAAAGTAAACAAAAGATTAAATTTATATATAATCTATATTGTCAGAACAATTGAGCAATAAAATTAATTTTATAATTTCAGTCAAGTTCAAAATCACTTATTGCAATGCATTAGAAAGTAACCCTTAAAATGAAGAATATATGCTAAACATGTAGTAGTGTGTTAAGAACTTAAATGTTTATATTGCTAATGTAATAAAAATCTGATTTATATATGCGCAACAAGCAAAACATCACTTCATAATTCACTGTTAAAATAGTGTGGTATATAAGTGAAAATTGTTACTTTAAGCTAAATTTTGTTCATTCATGCAATGTATGCTTTATGGTACCATCAATGCTTTGTCCACTCTTAGTATGAGCTTATAACAAATAGGAAAGTACTTGAGGTACTTTCACTTACCATAAAAAGGTACCAATACTCGTTCCAAGCAGTTAAAGCTGAAAAACATGAAATCATTTAGACCTTAGTGTTTGGTCACATTGATTTGCTAGCGTATGTCACACCACATGCAGAGTGTAAACTGAATTAACACTTAATTGCTCAGCCTATATGAGCCTTTGTATCTAGCAAATAATAACAAAACTAATTTCAAATTAGATCCCACTTTTAAGTCAAATGTAAAATGCCTAATTCGAAAGCTAAATGTTACATTAAATTAATAACATTTTGTTACCTATTAATTAAAACTCGTCAGCTGTAACTTCATTGAAACAGAAAACAAGTTCTATAAATCAATTTAACCATTTTAAGCATATATATATATCAACGTAATATTACATAGAAGTTGTTTCTAGATTATATTCAGGAATTTTACGACGTTAAACGATATTTAGCTAAATGTCATAGTTATTTACATGCTGACGCCATGTTCGTTCCACTAATCAATGGAGCCCTACGTACGCTAATGGTATGACAGTTTATTGAAAAGTTAACTTACCCTCAAATCACGTAAATACTTTAATTTGTTCCAGATTAACTGTGTAAGATTACTTAGACAATTCCAAGTTCGTGATGCAGAACCTTGAAGAATGCTTCTTCGTAATAAGGGCCCGAACATCGATCCAAACGCAGGACAGCAGGAATTCTAATGTTGGTAGCGGTGTTTAGTGTTGCCAGTATTCAAGATTCAAAAGTTCTAGCTAAAGCATTATTAAAATTAAAATTTGTAATAGGTAACAAAATTGCTACGGACAATGAACAATGTAATTAAGAAAGCTGGTGAACGAAGCTGGCAGCAAAATCGTATTCCAGAAAACGGTCGGCGGGTGCGAAGGTAGCGAAAGATTCGGTCTCTTTTAAAAAATTAACACTAAATATGTTTTATTAAGTATCGGACAACCAAAAGAAATAGCAATTTAAGAGAATATAAAGTAAACACGAGCCTCTGAATAATATTTTCTGTGACTATATAATGACAAAATTTCCTGACAAGTAAAATAATTTATGAGCTGGCAATAATGGTTGGTAGCCTTGTGTGACGTAGTTTATCAATACCTTCATTAAAAAAGACTATATTCAATTATCAAAAGACTAATAATTTTCATATTACCATAAATCAAGTTTAGGTTTTTACTCCTATGAGGTTATAATTTATTATCTTTTTACAGGAATTATTTATTATATGCATTTAAACGGAAACGCACTCTTAAATTGACAGTAAACCATTGCCGCCAACATTACAAACAGTTCCATTAATTTAAGTGATAACATGAACTAGGGATGTGACATTCTGCATAAAAAAATCGATTTTTTATTAATCGATTATTTTTGTAGCATGAATAATCGATTAATAAATAATCGATTTTTCTTAAAAAAATAATCGATTTTTTTTATTAATCGATTTTTTCCTAATTTTTGAATTAATTTCAAAATAAACACCCTAAATATTTTATTTTTCATAGTTTTTTAAATTAAAAATAAACAATAGAAATTATAAACACAAATTAACGTTTAAGAATAATCAAAATCGAAATTAACTTAATCTCGTTTTGATAGATTCTGATAAATGCTGAGTGTATTCCTTTTCAGTAGCACATTGCAGTATTTTTGTTGTCTTTTTAATTGTATGTAGTCTTGTGCTGCTGAAAAAAATTATTTTACTTTTAAATTATAGTGATCCATTCAATCTTTAGTTTTTGTAAAATTAACTGCTTTTATCATCCTTTTGATGTTTTACAAAAAAAAACAATGTATCGAGTATATCAATACATCTTCAAAGAATCGGATTCAATGTATCGCATTGTAAACATCGTTGTGTATCGAATATCCCTAATAGTTCGAGGTCCGGGTTATAAAAGACCAGACATAATGTCGGGAGGTGGCAGATAAAAAATCGATTATGACTGATTTTCAAATATAAAAATACAGTCAAAACCGTTTATAACGACATTGAAGGGACCGTATAGTTGCCGACGTTATATCCGATAGTCGTTATAAGCAATGTCATATACACAAGTACAGTACATATGTATGTACAATGTACATAGTTATCTATCTAGAATAGGTAGGTATGGGTTATAATATGGTATGTTAATATTATAATATGTAAAGAAGTCAAAAAAGAAACAAAAATATTATATTAATCGATTATTTTAAATATAAAATCGCGTAAAAAAATCGATTTTTACTTCTAAAAAAATCGATTATTTTTTCACATCCCTAACATGAACTGACTGACGAACTGATCGCGGATTGCAGCTTAAAACCTTTGTATTATTGAAACATTCAGTAATGGTTGCATGTATGCAAAATTTTTAGATATTTGACAATTTGAACAATATAACTTCTAGACAGTGGTACTACCACTAAATTTGGTTACTTATATGGTTAAATAATGGTTTAATATATTATCTATAAAAGTTCAATTGAAAATTCGGCTTGTATGAAGTGACCTTGTAACTCGTTACAGAATGCTACAGTACTACGAAACTAAACTTCTTCTTTATCCTACTTACAATTCGGCCAACTTAATAGTAGGGAGTATTGTAGGAATTGCGGGACCTGGCGGGAATCAGCTGATATAGTGCGCAGTGCGCAAATTTACGGGGGAAGGGGCGAATCGTGTAAATAGGGTTGACAAAAACCTCAAAAAGACCACTACTTTTTGTATTCATAAAATGCAAACTCACTCTATCCAAATACTACTAAAATGGAAAGTATATTTTTAATTAATTATAGATTTAACAATTATAAATATATTAAAAATATACAGATATTTAAAAAAAACACTACTCTTTTCATGGCTGGGGTTATTCATGATCGTGCTTGATGCTGGGAAAACATGCAAAACCTCAGTTTTATAATTAAAAGACAGTTAAGAAATTTTGAATTAAAATAAATAATTTTGATAATTACCTATTAAAATCTCTAGTTGTTCTCTTTAGTATATTTTCCTTCAAAGCCGAAAAAAATTCTTGAAACCTCTATTTTGATAGCCCTAGGTTAGTATGGAGTGCGACGGCGCCAATCTTGCGGGTGCCTAGCCACCCTTAGCTGAGCGGCCGTAGCAGCCTACGCCGCGCGTGTTTCAGCCCGCGGCCACGCACCACGCGGTAACGCTCACAACCGCGCGCCTAACCCTCTGTGATAACCCACGACATGGGCCACAGGTAACACGACAAATTCAATAAAAATGTACGAAATGTCAATCCAAGAATTGAATGGGAAGGCGCCGAAGAAGAGGAAAAAATCCCTAGATACCGTTGAGCAGGAAGCGGCAAATGGTGGAGCGGAAGATGTGAAAGATAAGCCGGTAGGAGTGGAGTTGCTCCATTGGCGTGATATGCCGAAGCATCTGCAGTTTAACCCATATGTGCTGACCGGTTACCGGCCGCTACAGGACTGGGGTGGATGTCTTCGCAGTCTGTTTTACTTCCACAATGAGACAATCAACATTCTGACACACGGTAATTTATTAATTATTAAACATATTTATCTTTTATATATTTTTTACAATGGTTATGAAAATCAATCGTTCTGGCTTCAGCTACATAATCGTATTACATAAAGCGTGATGTAAGTTTTGTTTTGCAACGAGTTAATTAAAATCTCGCTAAGAGCCATCCAACTTTCCGTGGTTCATATAAAATCGCTACAAATATAAGGGTTTCCTCAAAAATTACTTTATTTTACTGTTAGGCTTCGTAATTACATGACTCAGCCCTTAGGTAAGTATCACAGGTGCCATTAATATTGGGGTACTAAAAGAAGGGTAAACAGAAAGGGCGGATGAAAATATAGTTTGAATTTGCTTCTTACACGAAACAATATAATATAATTAAAATCTAAAATTAGATATTTAACTATATTTTTTTGTGTATGGGGCAAACGGGCAGAAGGATCACAAGTGTTACCGCAGCCCATGGACACCCACTTTGCCAGAATATTTCTGTGGGCAGCTGGTTCCACATAGTAGTTTACGACAAAAACTTATTAATTCCTGAAAGAGCAGGCTTACGCACTTTTAAGCGCCCAGATAGTATCAATTTGTTTATTATATTACTTTTACCTCGTATGTAGCGAAAGAAACTAGCTACCCAAAATCAGTCAATCACAAAGTACGTATTCATCATACAAATGCTGAATCCAAAATTAGTATAGAACTTATTATTGACCATACAGTTATCATATGTATGGAAAAAATGAAAGGAAAATAAAACGTTATATTTAATTTATGAGCTATTTATGAGTCATAAATTACCCGCAGTGTACTACAACGCGCTGCTACGGGACTGTGCTACGGAGCCTCGATTAATGTGATCGCCAATTTTATGTTTTATGCTGTCAAAATAGTATTGTTTCCTAACTCTCTATATAATAGACCTATGTTTAAAGATACTATCGGGTTTTGGTAGTGACTTAGGTTCTTATTAAAACGATTAAACTCAAACATAGAAATGTCAAAACCATTTTAAGCAGTAGGAATTTAAGTATAAATTTAGGTAAATGTGTTTGTATCGCGTGTCTATAATAGGACTAAAGAAATTGTTGACCAATCACAATCAAACGTAACGCGCTATCGTTTCGTCTTTCGCTTTATATTTTAACCCGCAGTTAATTGCCTGGAACATATAGCCTGTTATAGGTAATATAAAGCTTTCTCTATAACCAAGGGGGATTTCACTTTCACAATCCTGAGAAGTATATTGTCGAGTACAGGAGGCCTTTTGCTTTGATAAGGTTATCGAAATTTTTACATATTTTGTGTATGTAACAAGCGGTAAATATTTTTATATATTGGTATAACAGTTTTCTAATTTATTTAAGAGCAGCGTTGACTTAGTGGCTTAAGCGTGGAATCTCCATCCTGAAGTCCAGCGTTCGAATTATGGCAAACATACTGAGGAAACCAGCATGAAATATACTGAGTTATACGAGATAACAAAAATTATCAAAGAATAGATGTTATCTGAGGCCAAGGCCCATATTGTAGCGCAACTTGATTATTATTTATTTATTAACACTTGGTTGCTTGGTTGTACAGAAATATAAAACAATTGACATAATTAAATGAAAAGGAGGGCTTCGCTTTCGAGCGATCTCTGTAAGAAACCACTGTGAGAAAAAAATATTAGATAAGGTAAGCGCAAGAAGTGCAAAAATAATAGAACTATACAAAGCAAAATATGTAATCAGTGAACAGGATAATAAAAAAAAGGACACATGAAAAAGAAAAAGTGCATTTGAATCACGATAACTACAGATCAGTTAGTACGAAGGTTAGATATACGATGTGGACAAGTAATGCTTGTACAGTAGAGATTAATTTAAAATCTACCAAAAGTATTTTCTTCATAAGTAACGTGTGAAGTGCATTACTGAATATAATGCGGTGAAAAATTACATAGGAAAGCGTCAACTTTTAATAATTCGTTTTATTAATTATAAGATACCTTTCTACATCTTTCTTTTTTCTATATAAGCCTACGTAAATTGAATTAAATTAGGCTCTTAGAAAAGGGAACGAGCTTGCTCCCCTTATTTCGATCGTAAGATTCTTCCAATAATTTATGGCTCTGTTTGCGATTACGGTGTAACCAACATCGACTGATGACAGAACCCCAAGGTCCATACTGAACTCACAGTCTGGGGGTAAGAGAAAACCCGGTAGACCGAGGCTGCGTTGGTGGGATGGAGTTGTCATGGACCTCGAATGAAACCTACGAACACCTAGTTCGAAGTTGGACGCAAGACGCTCGAGATAGACTGCGATGGTGAAAGATACTTCCTCCTAAGACCCTTAAGGGGCTGTAGTGCTACTGTACAGCCATTGATGATGATGATGAAATTGCATTGAAATCACAATTTTGAAAATACATAGTTTATAAAGTATTGTGTGTGTATTTTTGATATCCTATTGTATTTGTGACTTGTGTGATATCTGCCATTTTATCACAGTGATAAAACGGACACATCAAATAATTTGTTATCGATAAAATGATACTATTATGATGCTATGATTGAGATTTTATCAATATTTATATCTACGTTTACTAGGTTGGTTATGTACACGCATTTTTGTTACTTAATTTAATAATTTTTAATCTAATGTGTTCCATTTATATTGATTCGACGAGCAAATTAAAATAAGTTATTTCGTAAATTATACGTTACATACATTTACGTATGGTTATTAATTTATTAACGTATTTTAGTTGCTTATATCTTATTTAAAAACAAAACCGATGGCGCTACAACCTTTTTACGTCTGGGCCTCAGATTTCTGCATCTGTTTCATGATCATGTCAATCTAATAGGCAAGTAGGCGATCAGCCCTGCGATTCTGTAACTCACTTTTCGAACTCACACAGCGGTTTTCGCATCGGCGGTCGCTCTCAAATCAGTCGTGAAGCAGTCATTTTATGATTTGGCATTCTGAAAAGGTGGGAGCTTGTAGTTTATTGTTTATCAGAATGCCAAATCATAAAATGACTGCTTCACGACTGATTTGAGAGCGACCGCCGATGCAAAAACCGCTGTGTGAGTTCGAAAAGTGAGTTACAGAATAGCTAGGCTGCCTCCTGTGCTTGTGTGTGAAAAAAGATAGAGTACTTTAAATACAAGTTGGAACGTAATTTTTCATTTTCAATTTTTCATTCTATACAAAATTTTGTATAGAATGAAAGTTTGCATTATTAAATTAAAAGTATTTTAATCGGGAGCTCATAGATTGAATACAAAACCTACAGCCATCAAACTGGTACGATGTAACACGTTCTCCGATTAATTGGTTACGGTCTATGGAGCTCTGGCCAATTTCTATACAAAACGGTCTAATACGGCGACATTTTCGCATAATATGAAACTGACGTGGTGTTTCTACGCGTATATAAACGGATTTTCGACAAAAGTACCCAATTCCCGTATAAGCGTCGGCTTTTCCGGCAGTTGCGATTAGGTTGATTGATTTTGGTGGGTTGGAGTCCCTTGTCGGCTTTTAGGCAAAAAGTTCGAAGATAAAAATACGTCGAGCTCTTTACTGACATTGATTGATTTAATTCAAACATTCCATATTGTATTCAGAGATTTTCAACCTCGACTATGCAATGGATTATCACTACTATGCTGGCGTATCGACCCCAAGCCTAGATCTTCGAAACGGGATACCGTTATACGGTCCTACTACTCGTAGTAACTATATTAATTATAAAGTTACTACTCGTTTAATAAAAGACTTAAAGATTCGTTACTGTCAACGCAATGTATTATGTTGCGTCTATGACCAAATTAACAAGTTCAAAACGGTGATTAGATATATATAAAAATCGATAATCTTATTTTAGCTAGTTTATTAAGACATGCATTAGTTTTTTTCAGATTTGGATTTCTTTTTAAGTAAAAGATACGTGTGTCAGGGTTCCCAGCTTTCCATAGCAAACTGAACTTATCGAAATACCATACAAATTGTACTTTTAACAAATACTTTTCACAATACCAAACCGTATCACGACGCATAACGCGCGGTAGTGCATAATAATAGTGAAAAACCTAAAAAGTTTTCATTCCAGAAAACCGAACAGTCTCTGGGGTAGCATAGTAAAATGTTCCATGGTGGTATGTACTGAAAAGGTAGGCTAAGTAAAACCACATTAAGGAGAAACGAAGTTGGCGGGGGCAGCTAGTAAGTTCATACAACAAAATACTTTGTTTTAATCAACGAACGCTGGCATCTCGCCAAGTATCCCCAGCAGCTTAGGGATAACAGATGGCCTCATAGTGACCCTTAATCTTCGCTTGGTATATACAAAAAACATTGTAGTACTAACCCACTGTTTTAATTTGAACCTTGAATGACAGAAAAAAGATATTCGTTGTACCTTTGGTCACTGAATGCTACAATAAATTAATCCCCCAATATTCGTCCTATTAACGTCGTCCATTTAAGTCTTACGTAAGCACTATAGGGGCGAGGGTATGATTTTCTTATTTGGTGATTACGTCAACAGTAATTATTTACTTTTTTACACATATTTATTACCCAAAGATTGTCTATGCTTGAAAACGAAATGCATTTTCGAGGATTCTACAAAAAAATTAATACGTTTATCTACTATTATTTTTGGAGTTTTGCTTACTTTTGCTGACAAGAGGAATAAATTGCAGTAAATTTAAAATTTAAAATTACCTAACGTGTATTAAGACCACCATTATTTAAAAATTTTCGCGTATTATTTATTGAAAAAAGATTTTAAAAAACATATAAATATGCTTTATTACTGATTTTATTGTTTTTATTCAAGATATATATAACAAATCTTGGAAGATATCCGTATTTTTTAAGTAAACAAATTCGTACTATGACAAACATAAGAAATATTTATGAAGATGAATTGTATTTACTGAAGGCGCTGTTATAGTAAATAATAACTGTTATTAATTCTAGTATTTGTCATCGTTAAATGTATTT